TTTACTGGTTGAGGGTATTGAATCCCTTCGAAGTTTTGGAAAACACCGTGTAAAGTTTTATACAGAAAATAAAATCCTAACACACAAATTTGAGATAGCTTTTTTTTAAAGACTAAACCAAAAGGTCGCATGTCCTTCAACGCGTAAAATTAACGTTCATTTTTTTTTTATTTTGCGATTTTTAAGCGCGAAAAATATTGATTTTCTTTAAAAACTTGTCATGTCATTCGGTGAATTTATCTACTCATAAAAGAGAAAGCCCTTTATATAATTCCCACGCGTTCTGCATTTTTCCTTTAAATCCATTTATATCCTTAATCCTGATAGCCCTGACTCTAACTTAGCTATTGCCATACATGTAAACAACAATTTTATGTTTTAAACATATAAACTAAGGTATTTTAATTGGGCAGGTCAGATCTTAAATAAAATTTTTTTATTAACGTATTCGATATCATACGCAGAATTCATTTTTTTTGGTTCTGGAACAGAGGGATTAGGAGTTCTTTCAAAGCATTCTTTGCAAATCTAGCGTTCCTTTTATTTTTCTTATTTAATCCAGACAGTTATTTTAGTTCTACGCACTTATCCAGTAAGGTCTTCAGTTGAAGCTAAGGTTTACATAAATGGTGTAAAAATGTGTTCTGTTAAGAGGTTCCTTCCCGTTTGCCAGCTGCTTTGGATATCTGAATCTCAAAAAATATCTTCTCTACTTTTTTTTTGCCCCTCTTACTATATAAATTTATTGTCATTGTTCTGAGTAAGCGTGCTAGATCTCAACCCTCTAGCTACATATGTGATATACACAATACATATAATGTATGTGTTATCTGCAAACTGGGCAAGCCCGGAGAATTTACGACACTGAATAAGATGTTCATTTAGTGAAATACTATAAAATAAACTCCCCTGTTAGATGCAAACCTTTCTTGGCTATTATTTCACTGTACATAAATTCTAAGAAAATCTTACCAATTCACTATGCTTCCCTTCAGTTATAACTTCTTCCCTCTTATAACCTTTTATTTAAAAAAATTTTTTTTTTTAAAGTTTCCCTAGAGATGTCATAATAAGCGAAAATAGATGAGATATTTTTTATAAATTACACTTCAAAAAATAAAAATAAAATAAAATATTAATTTCTCCCCCCTTCCATCATTCATTAGCTTAAAAGAAAGAAAGAAATGAAATAAAATAAAAATAGATTTATTGGAAAAAAAATTCCTTAAAAACTCAATCATATAATGATAAATGTATATAATATAAATTATAACATCTTTGACCCTCACCAAATTAGATTATAATAATTATTTAATATATAAAAAAAATTAATCCTTAATTTTATTATTTTTATAAAAAAAATATTAATATTGTTTTAATATGAGATAAAAATTGAATTGATTAGAATAAAAAAAATAAATAAATACAAAAACTTGTAAAATAAAATATAAAATAAAATGAAAGAAAGACAATGAATTATAGAATGAAAAGAAAAGATTATGATAATAATTAGAAAGAAAAAAAATTTTAAAATTGAATTTGATTAAGAATAAAATAAAATAAATATACAAAACTTTGTAAAATAAAAGAAAAATTAAATAAATTGAAAAAAAAATATATAAATTAAAAAATAAAATAAAAGATCATGAATAATAGAAAAATTAAAAAGAAAAAGATTATGATAAATAATTAGAAGAAGAAAAATTTGGGCTCTCGAAAAATCATTCATTTATTAAAATCTCTGAGGAATCAATGGAAAAGCGTATACTTATTGGGGAATTTATAATTTTTATGTAATATTTATATTTATTTTTATAATAAATAATAATTTAAAAGTCAGTTATTATAAGAAATACTAAAAATGAAGTTAATAAAATGTAGATTTACATCAAGTTTACAAAAGAATTTATTCCATCTCTCTTAATTGGATTAAGATAAAAATGTGTATAATATTTAAAAAGAAAAAAAAATAAATAAATTTCTAAATGAGTTAAATGAGTAAATCAAATTGGAAAAAAAGATGAAAATTTTGGTGTTATAAATTATAAATTTTATCTTAGTTTAAAAAAAAATAATCAGAAAATTAAATTATATAAATATATATATTTGTTAATAGCTAAAAAATATTAACTTTGTGTTTTCACATGGAATTTTCTCTTTTTATTTTGTGTGCTAGAAATATAAAGTTGAATTATATCAAGAGCGGAGAACTACAGAAAATATGAATCAAGATCAAAAATCTTTATAGCGAATACCCGGGGTTTAATTGATACCCAAAAAATAATTATTAATAAAAAATTTTGTAAATTTCTATACGATAATTTTCTAGATATTTAAACACAATCATCATAGTTACATAGGGTTTTTTTTTTCTCTGTGGTTGGGAACTTTATTTGTTTAAATCTATTCATTGTAACTTTATTAATTAAAAGTATGACTATGACACGATTATATACAACTAACCTAAACTATATGAATTTTAGAACAATAAGAACTTTTAAACACCTAATTTAATTTATAGTTAGATTTTCTATATATTTTTTTGTATAAATGGACTCAAAAGGTGTAAGAAGCAAAATTGTCTACGATTCATATGATAGGTATTCAAAAAAAATGATAGAATATATTTCCGGGTAAAATTTGAATTTTTTAAATTTTAAAAATAAGGCGCTTAAAAAAAAATTGATTTTAAAAGTTTGTAAAAATCAGGCATTGGCCGGGAAAAAAAACACATCGACGCTAAACATATAATAATAAATAAATGATTTTAATATCCTTTTCAAATATTTTCCTGGTAAACCAACAAGGAATGGAATGGAAATGTCGGAGAGATTTCGAGAAAGATCATTAAAATTTATAATTTTTTTAAAAAAGGCCAATTTTGTAATAATTATATAACATCATAAATTTTAAATTAATATTTTTTTTTCATTTTAGTAAATGGTTAATAAGATTATAAAAATTAATGATATTATTTATATAGAATACTTAGAATCATAAAAATTTTATAAAAAATTAAATCTTCTTCAGAAAAAATATTCGAAAATTTGAACAAATAACATGGGCACAGATCAGATCAATATTACTTCCTTTCGGTTCATCACGGCCATTTTGGCAATTTTCGGTGCTTAAAGGCCAAGACCTAATAAAAATAAAACAGGGCGGATTAATTTTGGTCAAAATGGAGGATCGAAAAAAAAAGGATTCTACATTCGTCAAAGATTCGCAATCCAGATCATCAAATCAAATTTCCACTTATTAACCCATTTCCTTTTTGACATATTTTTATTTTATTTTTTTCTTTATCACAATTTACACTTTTCTTTATTATTTTGTTTTATTTCGTCCGATTTACATTATTTAAAATTCTTGTTTTATTTTTATACTTTTTTTTTTATTAACATGTGATATAAATTTAGTTCCATTTTTAAGATTACTCCTCCAATGACATTTAATAAGACTGACTATGTATTTTATGATAATGCATTAGAAAGCGTCGTTGATTGCGAATCAGCTGTATCCGCCATTTTGGTAATCCATATAGTTATTTATTTTTCATGTTATTAAACTACTATTTAAATTGATACCTTGCTTGCTAACTTATTATCTCCATGATCACGCAATTCTTTAAATAAAGTTCTCGTTAAAATTTTTTTTTAAAATAATGATATGGGTAATCAAAATGGCGTCCTCAGCTGATTTCATTAATGTATAACACTTTTAATGGACGCATCGTCACTCTAGGTATTATTATTATACGTCATTGGTTTACTCATAAAATTTCGATTTTGTTAATAGGATGCTCAAACCTGGGTGCCATCTCAGAGCAAAATCTTAAGACTTGCATAATATTTATCTGTGTAAATGTTGGTTATGATATTTTATTTTAATTTAGCACACCAAATTTTTTTTTTATCATGTTAATCTGAATTCTAAGCAACTTCTAATTAATCGGGTTACGATATAAAATGGTTGTAATGTAGCAATTGGCTAAATAATTATCAAATTTATTTAATGGGAGGTCTTGTCCTAAATTCTATATATCACACGCCCACCCACCCCTTCTCCCGTTTCACGTGACGACCCAGTTGGCTTCAGAGAAAAAAAAAACATGGTTCCTTGCTGGATTCAAAACACAGAATTATCGGATTAGTTCGTACAATTTGTTAATCGGTTCCAGGAATAGTTTAGCGTTAATTCTAAGGTTCGGCCCGGGTTCGCCTTCTACTATATTTTTATCAATCTCAAGCTTCGGCCCGGATATTTTGAAGTTAATCGATACCGGATCCCGGGTCGGATAGGAGAAATGATAGATAAAACAACTGATTTATATAGATTATCGTTTTCATTCATTAGTGGTTTCCACGACGAGGTCTCACATTTTATCTCACATAATTATTTTATAATTACCGAAACAAAAATTAGTTCTCTATTTTATTTTATTATATTTATTTTTTATTATTAATATTATTTTAAATAATAATTATTTTTTTGTTATATATAAACTAAAAAATAAAAAAATAAAAATAAATTATTGAATCGCTAATGATAAGTAAAACAAAAAGTATCCCCAAGAGGTGTAACTCCCGTATTATGCGATAATTTTTTGGTATCTTTTTTTTTTAAAACAAATATTCATAATTATATTTAAAAAAAAAATTATATATATATATAACATAATATTCCGATATCCCCTCCCATTATTTACTACACTTACAAAAGGTTTTTTTTGTTTAAAAAAACAAAAAATACAAAACCATTAAATTTAATATTAAATTTTTTTTTTGACCATTATATTTAAATTTTTCTTTTTTAAAAAAAAATGTAATTTTTAATATTTATATATTAAAAAAAATAAAATTTATTATTACTTACCTTTTAAAATTATTTTAAGAGTTTTCCCCATTAAAATTAATAATAAATTATTATTATATTAAAAATTACATTTATATTTTTTAAAATTCTTGTAAAATATTTAGGTTGTTATAAAAATAAAGAATCAAAACAATTAATATAGGCAAAATACTATATTCCTTATAAAATTTCTTACTGGTGGCAAAAGAATATTCTAGATGATCACCGTCTTGATAACATGTATAAAGATAATAAATAGAATTATATATATATAAAATTTTTTTAAGAATTTTGATGAGAGAAAAATTATTATTATTCTGAGCACGAAAAAGAAATATTTTTTTTAAACACTACTTTATTATTATTATGGCATAAGCGTGGCAGTCAATGGCTTTAAGTAACCAGCCTCAGACATTATGATTCCTTCATTGAACTGAAAATTGGTATATACATGGAAGTTCCAACCATTGAAAAGGGCTAACTTGATATTCTAGTCAGGAGGAATGGTATGTGCCTTAAGCATCGAGACTTTGTTGATAGATGCTCAAAACATTTGTGCCATCTCTTACGAGCTAGATCTTAAGGCTTTTTGGATAAAATATTGAGTTAGCCATTTATAAACAACACTAATTGAAAGGTATTTAAATTAAATTTGTTTCGATGGTATCCCTCAACAGCCCACACAATAATCGACTAGAGCTGACTTCAATGGAGGAGGATATAAAGTATTTATGTCGTTGTGTAAACAGTATCACATTATAGATCAATACGTGGTGCCCATGCCCCTTATACAAATTTTTAAAAAAAAATTTCTGAAGGCGTTGCGGCAAAAATTTAAGGTAGGGAAGAGGTATTTTCCATGGCCGGAATTATATTTAAAATCAGAATTTGTAACTGAGCAATTTTTAAATTACGAAAAAGTATCGGATTTGTTTTAGGGATCCCAAACCGTAGTACATACCGGTTCGGGTTTATATAAAAAACCGTTTAAGGTATCCGTTCGGTTCGTAAAAAATAACAACATCAGTTTGATTCGAACAGATAAACCGGTTTAAGCTCATTTTTTTTTGTCACGCAAATTGATTTAGAATCAACTATAAAGGTTTATTTTTATTTATTTTTTATTATTAAAGTGCACGTTAAGAAATTAATGATAACGAAATGATAGCTATTTTATTATAAATTATTTATTTTCCACAACTATTCGAGGCTGTAAAATTACTTGTTTCTATTAGAATATTTTTTTTTAAAAAAAAGAGGTTACCATCAGGGTCCACTTAACCCCCTTCTACCGGTTTATCTGGTTCTAAACTTCGGTTAATAAACAAAACATGATTTGGAAAACATTTTTTTTAAAAAAAATTAATCTTTCTAAAGACTATTTCGCACAAAAAAATTATATCATTGTATACTTATTTATTGTTAGACGTGCTTCCAGTACTTTTAAATTTTTATTAGATCAGCTGGTTCTGATTCCTATCTTGGATTTGATCTCCGTTACGAAGAACCCGAGTTCTGGATGGTAACTAAGTATTCTAGGTATACTAGGGAATCAATATATTTTTTAGCAAGAAAGGTAGAGCTTGGACCTCCACTAGAAAGCAAGAAAAAAAATGAGGCTTACACAAACTATTTAAGCGCGTTTGAAGTTAATTTACTTTAAATTATTGCAATAAATATTGCAATAATTTTGCCTTATGATGGTGATTCTATGGAATATATAGCTAGAACTGAAAGACTACCTAAATTAACGTTTAATAACCATAAAAGACCTCCCCCCTTATATAAATATTTTTATAACTCGATTCTCTCCCTAATAGACTAGGCATAAGCCCTTATTAAAAAATATATCAATTCGTATACTCTAAGAATTATTACTAATAATTTCATTCATCGTGGATTCAGTTGAGCTTAGTTTTTTTTTATTGAAACTTAAGACAATCAGGACCTAACCTGAGAATCTATGGGCGCTGGATCGGCTGGTCAGCCTATCTCTAATCTCGACTAAAAGTGACAATTGGATTTTCTTTAGATTGCTCTGCTATTGATTATAGACTGCTTTACATACAAAGAAAAGCAATAATTATTTTATCTTGTGTATTTTAAGAATACCCTCATGCAATTTATTTAAAACTTATTTATAGAATCATATATATGTTAGCTTCAAAGTGTTTTTGGCGCCAATGTGTTGTTTTTTTCAACTTTAAATCATGTTTCTTTGAGCGCGTTTATTTAAAAATTTAAAAATCTGATTTTAACCGGAAATACATGGAATACCTATCTTAAGAATTATAGACAATATTGCTGTTAAACTTTTATGTCATTTATAAATTATATTTAAAAAAAATGTATGGAAAAAATTTATTATAAATTTTAAATTAAAGTTTTCTAAAAGTTCGCGGCAAAATTGTCTGAAATTTATTAGGGTAGGTATTTCCAAACATCAATTCTCAGTAAAATCATAAAATCAGATTTTAAATTTTTTAAAAAAAGGCGCTAAAAAATGTTATAAATTTGAAAAAAAAAACAACACATTGGCCGAAAAAACACATTCTTTCTTTCTTTCTTTCTTCCTTCCTTCCTTCCTTCCTTCCTTCCTTCCTTCCTTCCTTCCTTCCTTCCTTCCTTCCTTCCTTCCTTCCTTCCTTCCTTCCTTCCTTCCTTCCTTCCTTCCTTCCTTCCTTCCTTCCTTCCTTCCTTCCTTCCTTCCTTCCTTCCTTCCTTCCTTCCTTCCTTCCTTCCTTCATTTCTTTCCTTCATTTCTTTCCTTCATTTCTTTCCTTCATTTCTTTCTTTCTTTCTTTCTTTCTTTCTTTCTTTCTTTCTTTCTTTCTTTCTTTCTTTCTTTCTTTCTTTCTTTCTTTCTTTCTTTCTTTCTTTCTTTCTTTCTTTCTTTCTTTCTTTCTTTCTTTCTAACACTAAAGAAGGCTTAATATAATTAGAATATATTATTTAATTACAGAATTTAAATAGTTTTAATCTTAACATTTTCAATTATGAATTTTTTTTTGTCTCTAAAATATTTATATAATTTTTTTTGGGGGGTTTGGTAAAATGCTTAATTATTTTGCTATCTAGAATTTATTTTTTTTTAAAAAAAAATATGAAATGTTTATTGGCAAAAAAGAACCATTAAGTGGATCTATAGGAATGGTAAATTTAATTTTGTTTGAATTATAATCATAAAAAAGTTTTTATAAATTCTCTATTTTGTTTTATTATTAAGTTTGAAATATTTTTTGGTACAATGCTTTAGGTAACGTAATTTTTTTAAACTCCACTTGTATAAATTTTACCAATTAACCACAATTACTACTATACAGAAAACCTTATATATATATATATATAAATTTACTCATGGCACAAATTGTTATTATTTATTATGAATTCCTAATGAGTCAAAATAAAAATACATCTCCTCTTACTTATATTAATATCGTTATTATATATAATATATAAAACGATTTATTAAATTTTTGGTACTAAAATCAAGGATAATTTTTGTCCAACATTTTATTAAGTAACCAATAAATAATTTTTTGTTTTTTTTGTTTTTTATTAATATAAAAAAAATTTTTTTTTTAAAAAAAACAAGCCGCTGAAAAATTAAACAATCATTTTTTTAAAAAAATAAGTACTAAATAATTATTTATTATATTTTTTTTTTATTTTATATATATTTTTTTTCCGGGAAAAATCGAGAATTATTTCGCGCTAATTATCGTTCCAATAATAAATATTAATGAAATTATTCAGTTTTATTGATAAATTTTGTATTTTTTTCTTTCCTTTTATAATCGAATTATCATTAATAATAAAAAAAAAATTTGTAATCACTGTAATTGCAAAGTTAATTTCTGGTCGTAATCAATGACATATAATAATACCTAAAATGGCGATGCGTTTTATTAAAAGTGTACACATCAAATGAAAAACAGCTGGGGTTGCCATTTTGATTATCCTAAACGAGAGGTCAATTTATTCCTATGTGCTGACGCGAACTTTATTAAAGAATTGCCTGATCATCGAGATAATAAGGAGAAGCAAGTTATCAATTTAAAGAGTAGTTTTTAACGTGAGAAATAATAAACTATATGGGTTTACCAAAATGGCCCGTCCAGCTGATTTGCATTGAATGCATCGTCAGTTTTAGGTATTATTATATCTCTTCTCTTCTCTTCTCTTCTCTTCTCTTCTCTTCTCTTCTCTTCTCTTCTCTTCTCTTCTCTTCTCTTCTCTTCTCTCTCTTCTCTTCTCTTCTCTTCTCTTCTCTTCTCTTCTCTTCTCTTCTCTTCTCTTCTCTTCTCTTCTCTTCTCTTCTCTTCTCTTCTCTTCTCTTAAAAATTGACAATCTCGAAACACGTCATAATAAAATATCGAGATATACAAAATATTTAGGAGCGAATCTCATCTTATCTAATATCATATGATCACAGACCAACCCAAAGTGAGCTGACACTAGTTATATGGAGGATTTATTTTTTCTCGAGGATGCCAACAAACCTTGTAATCCAGATGTATAGTTGACTAAAAAATGGAACTACACCCTACCCAATTGAAGTATTTAGAGTGAGGTGTAGCTATTAATACTGTTGAAAATTATTTGTAAGCCATATTAAATCGGTTTGTAAATCACAGTCAAATTACAGAATTTAAACATTATACGATGACTCTTATTATAATAGTTAAACCAAATATCGTTCATGAATAAAATAAAAAGATAATTTAAATCTTCTTTGCGGATTGCGTCCAATTTTTTTCAATAATTTGTTCTGCGATGCGGGAAATGTAAATTTTTTTAATTTCCTCAATGAATTAAAGGTCCTTTTCATTTCTGTTTTTACTAATTGATAATGATGCCAAAATACACAGCAATTTGAATCAGAGTAAGCAATGCTTCCATTGAGTCTCTTGGACTTTATTATCTATTTTAAAATATCTTCCATACCAAAATTCTGAAATTAATCGACTTTTCAGATATATACATTTATTTCCCACCGAAATAAAATTTAACGAAATATTTAATTTTTTTTCTTCAAATATCAAGAATTTTAAAATAAGGATTTATGAGGTGAATAGTATTTCAGCAGCCTATGCTTGGTATCAACCTCAAGATATGAGTCAGTTCTTTCGCACTAAATTAGATAGAGCAAGTTCATTTAGTCACGAATCCTTCATTTGAAATGAATCAAAAATGTATCGAAAAAATTGTAATAAAACACTGTTAATTCATAAGTAGT